GCAGCTGTCCATTATAAGTCCATTATGACCCATTATGGTTCATCAACAAGAGATGAATACCTTCAGGCTTGGTGTGAATGTCCTGGGGAATTATCACAGCTGAATCATCTGTGTAAGAAAAAAGAAACACTATCCCATCTTGCAGGCTTTGCCCTTTTCCTTATCCTGTTCAACACCCAGTTTGTAGCCTGAGGTGTCGAATGTGCACACCTGCAGCACCTGGACAGGGTACCCACTCTGCACACTCTTACAAAGCACACTGCTGATTGAGCCATGAGCACCAACAGCCCAGTCTCTGACAGCCCCTAGGCTGTCACTGGTCCAGTGTTTGAGTCATTAATCACTAGCATTCAGTCTCTTTAAAGAAGGCAGAACATCAAAAATGCATATTTGCAGAAAAAAAAAAAAAAGGTGGATACCAGAATTTCTGTGTAACCCAGGACATCCTATCACTACAGCTCCTGGTGAATATCCACTCATATAATTTTGAGTACTCAGGGAGAAGTCTTCTCAAGAAAATGCTTGTGTTGCTTTAAAAAAAAAAAATTAAAGCTTTTAAAAACAGAACACCCTAAAAATGGGAAGTTGATGCATTATCCATGAGCTTTTGTATAAGAGCAAAGGGTGTCTGTAAGTTTAAACATTTTATATCATCTTGTAGACAAACACTGTTTTCCAAAGTCAGTTATGTAGTGAAGAAGATATTAAGATTAAATGAGCAGTGCAGAGCTCAAAAAGCAAGCCCATAATTATTAATAGATATTTAAATTGTCAGGCAATCGATTTTTAAATTGTCCTTTCACCCTTGTGTGTAATGCGGTTTCCCTCAAAGTGATAAATTAGCAGCAGCACTGTGCCGTGACTGTTTCTACTGGAAAGTTCTCATTACCATTCAGGGGTTTTGCTGGCTCATCAGTGAATCGTGGATAGACTTTCGATTGCTGAAGGGTGGCCCAGAAACCAGAAAAAGGATTGGAAACAGAGTCTATAAAAGCCTTTTCTTGAATTCCAAGATTGATTGAGTTCTTAAATAGGACTAAATTCTTTGGCCTTAGTGTTACTATTTCTCATGAATCTCAGAGGAATTGATAGAACATTCACCCCCTCCATCCCTCTCTGTAAATCTTAGTATTCTTGTTAATCTGTCAGGAAAATAAGAACAGTAACATGTAATGGACCAAATGTGCCTTTTTTTCCTTAACTGAAAAGAGTGTTACTCTTAATCCTACTAGCACTAGGCTGAGATCTAAGGTAACATGACCCCAAGGAAGGCAAGCAAATGCCTGCCCTAGCCAACCCTCTACTATTTAGTACTGTATAGTCTCCCCACATTTAGTTTCACATAGTCAGATACTGTCTGATGGTTTGAGGTTAATAAGAATGTGGACTGTTGTGGATATCTGGAACAAAGGAATGAATTTCTCAGAAAGCTAACCAGAGGAAGAAAGTATTTTGTCTATTGATGTTACCCAGCCACCTAAAGATGCAGCCAACACTTCAGGGACTGGAATGATGATGTCTTTGATGGAAGCTGGAGGCATTTTCTTGTTTAAGTCTTCCAAGTGTTTCTCTTTGCTTACCAGCATTTCTCTACTATTGCCCAGGTTTATTCAGCAGAAAATTTCCCGAAACCATGTTGTCATTTCCGAAGTGATAGTACTTGCAGCAGATGAGTGTCAGTGGCATGTTATTAAATCTATCTGAACCCTCTGTGCACCCTTTTCGTTTGCAGTGGGCTAAGAGGATAGCTCTACAGGCTGCAAATAGGATAAAAAGGAAAGAAGCAGTACTATCAAGTACAACAACTGTGACATCTGTAAGATGAAGCCGTTACTGTCAGATCCTCTTCCTCCTGTTCATTGTTGTAATACCAGACATAGCAAAGGTTCTTGAGATGTGCAGCCATACAAGAACAGAGATCTTACCCATGTCTGCAGGAGACATTGTAACATCCATATACAGCACAGTGGTGGTGCAGTTTGAGCTTGATGTGTACTAGTCACTTAGCTGTTTATTCAAGATGAATTGTGGGGCTCTAGAATGAGCTGAAATTCACTTCAGGGTCAAATTTTTACAAGATTTTAAGAGTCCAGTATGGGTTTGTTTGGGATCCTTCACTGTCAGTAGATCAGAAAGAAATGTTCCCCTAAAGGAGCTGCAACTTGTTTCCACTCAGGGGATACTCCAGAAAGTGTTGATGGAGGGACTGTGGCACTCTACTGTCAAGGTAGCCATCTCAACCCTAATATAGAAGCAATTCTGAGTGTAAATGAGTATTGGTTATTTGAGAGAGAAGCCATAAGCAGCTCTAAGTAATGCTGCCCCATGTCTTCCTTGACTGCGGCCCCAACAGCTGAGTTTCAGCAGTGCTAACAGGATCAGCCTTGGACCTTTGCACTTTTTCAGTTGCTGATTTTAATTGCTGATCACTGCAAGCAAAGAAGCAATTAAGTATGAAAAGGTCCATCTGGGAAGTCAGTCCCGTATGATACCATGAGCATGCCTGTACATTGTTATGCCCCAGCTGGTCACAGTTGAGGGCACTCAGCATCTTGCACGGTCAAACTATGGAGATAAAAAACTCCCAACACTCCTAATCAATAATAGAGACAGAAAAAGTGGCTTTATTATGAGTACTGATTGAACAACCATGTTAAAGTAATTGAGGACAAGATCAGAGAGATGAGGGAACTTTCATTTCTTTGAGGACTGTTGCTCTATCACGTGTTTTATTTACAGTCTCCTGCGAGGTATCAGTTTCTATTGGACCACACAGATTGCTCTGATAGCTGCAGTTGAAATCAGGGTGCAATTCATGTATTTGAGATTGCCACTGAGTGCTACATACTAGAGTTGTTTCCCTCTGGCTCACAAATACGGATATGTGTCAGTGCAAGGCAGGAACTGGAGAGCAGTTACAGCAGCTACAATGTGAGGGGGAGAGATGAGAACTTAATACTGTCACTAAAAAGCAAGTGACAGCTCAGAGAAGAACAGAGAAACAACACTGCAAGTCTTAAGATAGTTTTTCTTTTGTCATTTAACAGCATTTACAGAAAGATATTCCTTACAATTTTTCTACATCATTTTTATCATTCCCTGGTAGCTATATTTGAGTCATCTTTATAAATACTACTTGAGATGTCTAGAGGAGATAATTACAACTGCAGCTGGGAATTAGAAGCAGGAGTAATAAACTCGTAAAATGGAACTTCATGGTTTTCATGTGAATAATTTGACAGTAATACATCAGGAAAATAAAATTTGGGACATAGAAAGAAGATGATGTAAAACATAGGTGTAAAGCTAAGCACTCCTAATAAAAGGAAAAGAATTGCTGGGCAAATCCAAGTAGAGTGATACCAAGAAAGTCTCCTGGACTTGGTTCTTCACTCTGTTGTAGACAGTGAAATAGTCATCACAGAAAGCATTATCATTCATTCTGGAAAAGGAGACTGCAATGCAAGCTGTTGACTTTGGTGAATTTTTTTTGTAAAATTGTCCAGAAGAGATAAGAAAGAATTGGATGAGAAGGAGAACTCAGACTAAGAGAGATGATGTTGGACATATTCCATGGTGTCAGCTGCCATTGCACCATCACTGTGGGAGTAACCAATTTATTTATTGATACTGGAGGTGCCTTCACAATGTATGTTCCAGTAGCAGGTTCTGAATGCTAAAATGACAAAGCAGCAGTCTTTTATGGGCTCACACTTTCAGGTGTTGGTCTCCACAACTGTGTAAATTCAGAGTGAGAAAGCGTTGGCTCCTTTCACCCTTTGAGGTATTGCTCCACCTTTAAACCATGAAGGTTCCAGCCATATTTCACCCAGCCCTTCTCTGATAGTGGCCAACAGCAAGTATAGGGAAGAATACAAGAACATGTTGCATTTTTCCCACATCACTTTATAAAAACACTTGGCCTTCACCCAGAAACGTCCCTCAAATTCCAAGTGTAGCATATTAACATTGCTATGAGATGGGTTTGCTATGATGATGTTATGAAATTACCAGACAGAATCCTCTAAACCCAATTTTCATGTAAGACAATAGCACACCCACTCAGTCAAAACAAATTTGGGGCAGAATATGGCATGCTATGAAAGGGTTTGTTATTATTCCAGTTTGGAGGTTTTTCACCAAAAGAGTAGTAAGTCAGTGTATTTAAATGGACAGAAAGGAAAACCACAGAGCTCTATGGCAGAAATGGATTTATTTATAAGTTATGAAATCCAAAGTTATCCTTAAATACAAATAATATGAAAAACAAGCACAAAACTTGTACCAAAGAAACAGGAGAATGATTAAGTGAACAAGGTCATGCTGGAATCATGTGAATAGAAGTCATGATTTTCTGTGATCATTCACTTACATTTCAAGTAAAACTAGGCCCTTACCCTGCAATTTACAATACAAAGGAATTCAGAACTCTTACCCCAAATTGCTGACAATCTGTTGTTTATTGTGACTCCTATGGGCTTAGTTTTAAAAATCTATATCCAAATAAACCAGGATAAAATATTATTTTCTAATATTTTTCATTCAGCTGGCTTTTCCAATGCTCTGGTGACCATATCAGAATGTTTAAGCAATCTGTGTGACATATGTACAAATATCTGAGTCATGAATATGATGAATTTCATTCCAAAGAAGATCTACTCTCCTGGGACTTTGAGCTCAGCGTGGGTAAATAAGTAATCATGAAGATCAGAAGACTTATCCTTAATTCCTGATTGATTCAGATGCTTTAATAAAATATTGTTAATTTTCTTCAGCTCTTCTATGTTCTTCTTTTCAAACAGTAGCCTGCTTGATATTTGGTCCATCTTGTTCCTAGTCTGAACTTGAAAAGGAAAATGTAACACATTAAAGTGGCAATATTTATGTCAAGAGCATCGCTACCCTGACTTGCATTCCTGGGAGAGTTTGTAGAGAATTATGATGAACAAAAACATTAACCAGGAAAACATGAACCTCATGATAAGAAGTTATACATTTGGTAGGTTTACCTGCTCACTACATTCTTTTATTGCTTATTTTCTGTTTTGGGGTTTTTTTTTTCACTTTAGTGCAGCATAATAAAATAAAATATGGCTCAGATAATTTTGCAGTCTTCAGGAGCATATCCATTCCATTAGCTTCCACAGGAAAGTATCTTATTTAGGAGCTCCAAGATCTTATTTGTGGTCAGTATGGGCATGTATTTCTCTAAATGTACAATTACTGCACTAATTGTAGTGCAGCAGTAAAAAAAAAAAAAAGTAAAGCAGACTACAGCCAAATTACTGGATTTCTTAATCATTTAAATTAAAGGAAAATTCTTGCAAGTATTGGCATTGGGAGGCCAGCCTCCTCTGGCACACAAATGTGCCAGAGATATTTTTATTTTGGCCTTCTGCAGTTAACAGAATTTACCCCTGGGTTTTGAATAGTTAAATCTAATAGTGTCAATGCTAAATCTAATAGTGTCAATGCTAAATGAATCTATACACATGGACTGCAAGTATAATCTCAGATTATATAACATAACATATATAAACTGAAACACCACTGGAAATCAGTTTCAAAAACTACAGGCTTCAACCAACCTGAGCCCAAGCAAACTGCTTTAATTCCTGTAAGAAGACTTTTCACTATTACTTTATCATTCTTCTACTAGAGTAGCACATTGCTCATTTTTCTATACCAGGGCTCTATTTCAGACAGCTTTCTATTAAATAAATCTGAAATTCAAGTATAAGGTATTTCAGTTAGGATTTTACAATCACATCACTTAAAATCTACTTCGTGTTTTTTACTTGTCTGATATTCCATTCTTTGAGTGCTTGTAAGAAAATTTTGTTAGGGTAGAATTTCCTGTTCAAAAAGGAAAATGAAGATTTTTGCTATGTTCCAGTAAATTCCCCTCTACGGGATATAAGAAATCTTGATTTTGCATGGATCCCAAATAATTCAAAATAGACTTGTAAATTAAAATAATGCACCTCACATTCTGTTCAATACTATTACTTCAGAAAGCCCCAAGATGACAAGGGCTCCATAAGCCATGGTCACTTGCAGCCACGTGTTCAGCTAAGCCTACCCAATCAGTCCTAACAAAGTGGAACAGTAATTAAGTCTACAGGCTCAGTTCTATATGCAAATCTTGATATATGCTATCTAATTTTCTTTTTCTTATTTTTGAGATTTTCTTAGTTCCAAACAAACCTCCAATCAGTACTTAGATGACAACCCTCAGGTCCTCCTTCAGGTAGCCTGATTTAAGTGTTAGTCTAAGTGTAATTCCAGTTTTAGTGGAATGACACCAATATTGAGTTATATCTGGAAAGCAGTGAAAGGCACATTGTCACTGCCATATAATCATCTTTAAATTTAAATTTCATTTCCAGTCAGCATTTTTAGCAACACAGTATAAGCCCTCTGATCTACATTCTTCAGAGTTGTTGAAGAATAAAATTGTGCCTTTTAGCTCAGAGTGTCAGTTGTTTGCCTGTGATTCTGCTCCCAGGACCAGGACCCACTGCCCATAACCAGCCTTTGACCATGCAAATACAGCAGCAGCATGTTATAAGGTAGCATGACACGTATCAGCAAAGTTCTTTTTCCCATTGGCCCTACATTTTTAAGAGCCAGTTTTTGGTTTACTTACTTATTAAGAATATTACAAATGAAACAAGTGCCAAACTGATGATCAAAGTAAGAATAAAAGTGATGAAGAACAAACACTGATTTCTTGTGTTGCTCCCTGCCATGTTTTCTCCAGTGCCACCAGTGTTCTCCTCCTCATCTGTTAACAGATGACAAATCATTTGGTATAAAGTTTGTAAAGGTTGGTTAGGATAAACACGACAAAATGCTTCTGGCTTCATGAAATGATGGAGAATACATCATAATTTTGGCCAACAGATTTTATTTCCAGTCATATTGCATGAGAAGGAAAAAAAACAACTTTAGGAGCTCATCTTGAATTTGGAAGTATAAAATAAAGTTTACATACTACTGTAACTACTTACTAAGATTTGCTTTTATTTTCTGTTTGGGTGGAGGAGGAAGTTTCGTGTCAGTCTCATACATACTAAAATTACATGCAAATTGCTATAATTTATCCTCCTGTAATTGCTGTCTTCTGAAAGGAAGAGTAGCATGTGCATCTCTGAAAAATATATTTCTAAATCGTGTGCTTGTTTTAGCTGGTGGAAATCTCTGAGGTCTTTGCAACTGAGCCTGTAGCAATAAAACTGAGGGAAGGTTGCATTTGCCATTACAGCACTATAATAATGACCCAACCCAGGGCTGAGCAATCCACTGAGCTAGCAGAAGATCTCTGGGAGTTTCTCCAATTTTCTTTATTGTGTTTAATACATTCCTGCCTGTGAGTAAGCTGGAATGTTTTCATATTTGGGTTTTGAGGTTCCATTGTTATTCCCTTAGCATTCATAACAAATGCACCATATAGAAAGTGCCTGCACCAATATTGCTTTCTAATCAGAATAATAAGAATGGTCAGGGCCTGCTACTGCTGCTGTCAAGCATACTAAGCTTTCAACAGAGGCCTCTGCCTAATGAGTGTTTCTTCTTATTTCATCAGGCTGAACATGCCAGTGTTGTGAGGAATTGGTGAACACAAATTCTTGCCAAACAGCAAACAGTGGGAACATTTGATTATCTAAAACATAAAGAAATTACTGCATCACTCTTACTTATGCAGTCAAAATGTATACACACTTTAAATAGCTTTTTCTATCTCTCTGATTTTCCGGCAAGAGAACCAGAATTTTATGCTGCTGAAGAAGGCAGGTAAGGAGTGTGAAAAAGTGATTTTGTGTATTTAGTTGTTGGGATAAGAAATCTACAGAATCTCCAAGCTTAAAAAGTATTTTAAAAGAATAACCCTCGAAGGAACCAAAGCACTTTGCAAATTTATGAATAAAATACATATTAGGCTACCTTCATTTACTGCTGAAATATAGGGAGGAGCATGCATGCGATTATTCCAGAGAACCATTTATGATTCCACAGAACCTTGTATATTTACCTGAAAAGTAAACAATACTGTCCAATAAAAATTGCAAAAGAAAGCAAAACAGTCACACCAAAAGGAGTTTCTTTGACATTAAAAACAAGGTATACCATTGTCTCATTTTGTACTTACAAAAGTGTCAATATCAAGATAATCTGCATATGAGAATTAAGTACTTTAGGTCTAACATACTTGCATTAAATGCAGAAACCAACACCACTCTAGTTAGTTGCATTAGGAAAATATAGAGAACTTGGAAACAGATGGAATGAGAAGGCATTGAAATCCCATAACGAGAAGCATGATTAGGTTATGGCCATTTGAAACTAATTTCAACATAGCTGCTGATCTATAGATTTCTTTAGTGAAATTTGCCATTATAATAAGGGAAATAAAAGCAGATTCAAATATTGTCATGTGGAATGCTGCTGAAGAGCTCTAGGTTTTAAGATATTTTCAGGTCAAAAAGAACTGAAATATACTGTAGTTATCACTGAGTGAAAATATTCTTGTTGCTGTGAGAAATCAAAGACAAAACCCCCATGAAACCAGTAGAAGCTTAGGAGCCATATCTGAAACTGTAAGAAAGTCTGCAAAGTAAAATGCTTAAAATCTCAAGGGATATTTCAGATAAGTGGTCTGAGTCCCTAGGAGATGTATCTTAAAGGAATGAACAGACATTTCCTGGCACTTCTATTGCCGTGTGTGAATTTTAGTGCTTGGAAAGAGTTACAATGCTATTTATGTAGTAGGTGTATATTGAGCATTACTGGAGACATTATCCTGCAAGGGATCACCTCATAAATCCCAATGGAAATGGAAGATAAGTTCAGGCTTAACAGTGAATCCCTAGCAAAATGCAAGGATTTTCAAGAACCTAATAACTTAAATACTCAGCAGGGATAGCTAAATCATTATCTGATCTGTCTAAATTAGGCCATTTTCAACCTTTTTCTTACATTTTTTCAGTAAAGACCTTGACATACATATTGGCCTGTTGTCATCAGTGACACATAATGTGGATTGTGTATATGGAAAACCATAGAGCATAACCTATCATACCTACCTAGTGAATGCTGGGATTCATCTGGACAAACATTTAGCTTGTTTAGGTTGTTTAAGGAATCAACTACATAAAGTTTTCCTTCTTCATGAGTATCAGGCAGGTTAATTTCCAAGGAAGGTCTCTCCATTGTATCTAAAGTAAATAATAATTTAAAAGGTAAATTAACACATGGATATGGGAACTAACTGGTAACAGTTGGTGTCCTTTTCTAAGGAAACACTGAGCAGCCTAAACAACCCGTAAAATAAAGGGATTTGAAGGACCAGCACAATTACTAGATCTTGAAGGCAAGGATAGATAACTCAGTACATAGCACTTGTTTATTCTTGGAGATTTTTGGTGAATATAACATTTAATTTCTACATTGTGTTTGTGCATGTGTATTCTTATGCATACATACACGTATGCTTGTGTGTGGGGCAAGAGAGAGAAAAATCAGCCTGACTGGCTCCAGCATTGATTTGAATGGTAATCATTCAGCTGTATAATCCTTTGGTTTGGTGAGGTAGGAGGCAGGGTGAGATTCTGACAACAGTGAAAGACAAACCTTTCACTAACACTGACAGGAAGGATGTCACTCAGTTCCTCTGCTTTCAGCAACAGATAATTTAGAGACAAGACAGAGGAATCAAGTATGGGTATATGAGATAAGCAGCAAGAATATCTGTCTGCTTATACACCTTACAATATCACTGTGAAGTTATTATTTGTGAAAAAAGAACAAAAAAATTAGTTTTCTAGACCAGACAAATTCTGGACAAATTAAAGGTTGATGGCAAAGCCTTTGCTTCAGACTAACACTCCTTGCTTTAAAAAAAGCACTCGATTAGGCCCAATCTGCAAAAATAGTTTCTCTGTAGAGTCTGGGTGCATGAACTCAGTGTATGATTTTTTATATAAATACAGTTTTGAAGGAATAATGTATACAGAAAAGAAGCAATACCTAAGGAGGCCCCTCTGTGAATTGCACATTATTCCTTATCAGTCTTTTGGTTTTCTTAATGCAACTCTGATTCAAAAAATGCCTTCTAGAAACAAACTGCAATTCTAGCCATAAGGAGATGCAGATGCTCTAAGCAGGTAGGTTTGACTACACTTATCACTGAAAACTCCCACTGTAATTATTGAAGAAAAATACATTCCTCCAGGTAATATTCCTCTTATTCTAAGATACATCTTTTTGAACTTAGAATCGCAGCCTAAACGTATCTTTTTCTTGCTAGTGAACATAAGGAGCGGAGCTCACAGAGATTAGTTTAGATTTGGAGTAGAATACATCTTACCCATTTATTATTTTATCAAAGCTCCCAAGTTCAATTTTGCCTGCCAACATAAATCAGCACTTCATGGGATGCAAACCTCTCATTGATGAAGGGTGTTAAGCACCTAAGGGTGATTTATGAATCCTAGATGGGTTGAACTGCCCTCCTGATGTGCTTCTGAGCCTTCTTTCCTTCACAGTGTGACCAGACTCCTAATATAGTACTTAAATAAAAACCTAACGTCTGAGTGTTTTCCTCAATCAGTCTGAAAACTAAGCACTTAAATCACTCCTGACAATGGGGCTTGTTCTTCTGCTAGTGGAGGTTGATATGACTACATGGATACTTTCATATTTCTGTTTAATAGCATGTAAGAAAAGATTACAGCTTATTTTTTACTCTGTTCAGACCTGTTGCTTCAAAATACAAAGAAAAGGTAGAAAAGCTGGCATAGTAGGGGTTAGCCTTACCTACTGTATGATGTTTAGGTGTGCAGCAGTAACTTCAGAACAGACGACTGTGTCCACTGTCCTTCCTCTAGAACATCATGTAGCACCAGGCAGCACAGTCTGCGAACCACGTCCCTGCCAGCACTGGCTCTGCTCTCTCCGCACATGCACATCCGTAGCCAACTGCAATCACTACAGAGCCCTGCATTTGAGCAGCATACTAAAAGTTAGCACCTCGTGCACAAAGGCTTTTGGTTATTTTTAGCTTCTGAAGAGCAGTTGTTTCTCTTGGATATTTTGATTAGTACCTCCCTGCAACTTCAGGGAAGACTCCTCTTAACAACTTAAGCTGCAATAAGATTCATTAGTGATATGAATTATATGTTTCTGCATTTACTATTAATTTTTTAAGCATTTGTGCATGTAACCACAGGGAAGATAACCATTAGTGAAGATAACCATTCAGTGAAGTAATTCAACAAAGTTTACATTACATTTGTTTGATTACAATGACATGACAAACAAAGGAGAAAGGATACAGACGTCAGTATCATTGGCCAAAAGTATTGATTATTTTCCCACCAAACTAATCTAAACACTGGGGTTTTGAGATTCAGTTTATCTTGTACTTTGAAGACTTTTTCTCCAATCCGACTTTTAAATTTCTTCTTAAGCTGTTGAGGTAAAATTAGAACGTAGAATGAAAACACACTAAAAATTCTTCACAAAAAACTACATAAAATATAAAAGGTTAAAACCCAGCAGAATGAAACATTACTTACAACATAAGTTAATTCAGTTAATGTGCCAGTATCGAAGAAATCAGCCAGTGAAAATCATGTGAAGAAAACTTGTTCTGCTGTTCTTCTCTCTACTTTTAGACCCATAGGAACCTGTTGAGTCCTGCAGGACCCATAAAGACAGCTATGAAACAGACTGCCCCTTTCAGTCTATATTTAGCATTCAACTTGGCTAAGTGTACTGACTTCACAATATTGAACTGCTAAAAAAGAAATCAGCACATACACAGCTCTTTTTTATTATACTGGAGTCACGATAATGTCCTGTCACGGAGAATGAGGTTTGTTACTGATGATCAATATTTCACTGACCTTTTGGTTAGTGCCAAACCTTTTAGGTTTAATGCCTATTTAAAACTCATTTGCTATGCAGAAGAGTCACATCTATGACACTGTAGCTATGAGCAACCAGTTTGCTATGCACAAGAGTCATATCTACAGTATTGTAGTCATGAGTATTTTAAAGGCATATACTAGAAAAATCAAGGTATTTTCCTCCTTCTCCCATACACCTCACCTTACAAATTTAAGTGGGACATTATCATGGGGTGGACTAATTTAAATCATTAGTTGTTTAGAAATTAAATTCTGAGGAACTGTTGGTGAGTACTATAATTGCTCCTTTACCAACAGTTCTTTGGATCATTTTTCCTTGCTGAGGTTGCAGAAGGCAATGTTACAGCATGCTGCACTGACAGGCAGCTGACACTTACATAGAGCTCAAAATACTAAATCCTTTCTGAAGCCATTCTATATCTAAAATTCTGAACCCCTTTAAATTGACAATAAACACACTTTTCTTTCAGGAAACTGAGAGAATAAACCTGATTTGTAGCTCCTACTGACAAGCTCTGCCCCTGCCCAGTCAGACTACCTGGGCCGGCAACACAGATGTAACAGCTCACTACTTTTCTGTGCGGATCTCCATGAAGTCCTTCCTCCAAATAAGGATCTGCAAGCCAGAAAAAAAACCCCTTGCTTCCATTCGCAAGAGTCCTGACACCAACAAAGTTGTAAGACAAGGACTCAGGCCTCTTCAGTTCTAAGCTTGAAAAAATCTACAAATCCATCCAATCTCTGCAGGGCAGCAAAACGTGTCTTTCCTCCAACAGCTCCTGGAAGCCATCCTGGTCACTGTGGTTGGCAGCTACCGTGTAACAAGGGAAAGGGCAACCACATGCTTGGCCACCTGCCAGGAAGTGTTGTAAAAATACTAGACAGGAAGCTATCAAAAGTGTTCCTTTACATGGGCAAAGGACGCCAAAGCTGACTACCCAGAAGCCACAGGAGAGACCAACAGGCTTAAGGGAACAGTTTAACTCAAAGGGGACAGACTTGGACTGGGCAAGCACAAGCTTCTTCTAGTTCAAGGATCAGAAGTCTCTTCTTCACTTGTGTGACACTGACAGCACATGTTCATCATACTGCAGATTTCAACTGAAGGCCTTCATTTGGGGTCAGGGATCAGTTTTGTAAGCCAAACAAGTTGTAACATAATCAATTATTTGAGGGGAAAAAAGGGTAACTTACAAGGTACAATTCATTAGTATACATAAATTTTCTGGAATAGGTTCTGCCATAACCAGAAACTTGGGGGAAACCAATAAACAAAAAAACAACCCCTCCCCTGAAAAAAAACAAACTCCAAACCAATCAACCAAAAAACCACCCCACCCCAAACCAAACTTTCCCTTATCAGAGCAAGCAGCAGTTCTCAGGGGCTTGTGAGGTTTTTTTGATGCAAGGTTTACTTCCTCTGCTGATAGCCTGACCTACCAGTTTCAGAATGTTTATTAAGACACGTAAGTTTACAGATCTTCAGGTTCAGAGGCTCCAGCTACCTAAGTTTTAGTGTCTTTATTTCAAAACCCCCACACACCATTCTCAAGACAGTTCTGTTACTGGCACATTTCAGTCCCCTAGAGCCAGAAACTGAGAGCACAGGAGTAGGTTTCAACATTACGAACACAGGGGAGCTGGAATGGCTCCTGTAAGATAAGGGACACCTTATCTTTTTTGCAATACCAGAACTAGAAAAAACATTTGACCATTACAAAAGCAGTGACAAATCAACAGTAGGCTGTTGTGCAAGACCACGTACAAGTAAGATACACCTTTGAAACACAGCAAGAAAGACTGTCACGTAGCATCTACTAAACCACTGAGACTAACATAACTGGGTCTGAATGGGCAAAAAACCAAACCCTTCTGTTTCACCCTTTAGGTTTTGCTGTTGTTGCAGCTGTTCAATCATGAAATAATCACTTTTACACAGAGTGCAACCAGTGAGAAACATCTTTATTGCAAAAATTAAATATCCAATTTCAGAACATAAAAATCTTGCTTTTGCTTTATATTGAGGCAAGTATTTGTCATTCACTACTTGACTGTCAATAGAGGTTATTAAACTTCATAGTCCCTGTCAGGATAAAGTCATAGTAATATAGAAATTTCTTTGTCCACCTGCCATTGAAGAGTTAAAGTTACTCAATTTCACACAAATATGGTTATCTTTTCATATTAGCACATTCTTACCAAAACACTTGATCCATGAAGTAATTTACCTTTATATGAAGAATCCAATCTGACTACAGTTATCCACTCCATTTAACATTTCAGTTACAATATATTCAACCTTTGGAGCAACAGGTGGCTAATGCAAATGTTATAATGTATCCCTGCTCCAATGTTACATCAATATATATACACTGTATATGCAACTAAGTAACAACATGCATTATATTTACAGACTTTACATAACATCCTTGTGCACAAGTGCAAACTATGACTACAGAAGTTAAAAATTCATTTAAATGTTACAAATTTAATTATGAAAATTGAACCCCATTGAAAACGAGATCTAGAAAAATTCCCCCACATCTGCTCTTTTATCACGACATTTACTTCTAGCCTTTGTCCGAGCCTTGAATGCTGCAGAGTTGTACAAATGCTACAAGATAAAAAAAAGAAAAATTAATTACAGATGTTCATAAGGCTTATGATCTTCAGAGTTTTTTCATATTACAAAACAGATGAAAATATCTTTTTATTAATTTTTGAAGTAAATTGGTAGGCTTTCAGAAATCTATCCTTCCACCTTCAGAATACTATCCTTCCACCAAAGGCCGATTCATTGTCATATATATACATTTAAAAGAAATGTGGTTTGTATAAGAAAGGCTGAGCTACGAACAATTTTGGAAGCCTGTCAGTTTTAAACATCATACAGACAAAATGTAGGTTAAATTCACCCCCAGATTAAACCTGGTAGCACCACTGCTCAAATTATATGGAGGATGAGTACATTCATAAGCAGCAGAACAAAGTCATCCTCCCAGTGCCCATTTTACACTGCAGAGTTTGCAATATTGTCTTTATAAAGACCCTGTTTCCATGGTTTCCTGTAGGTCCCTCCCTGAAAACCTACAGTTGTCAAAAGAGACCAAGATTCACATGTGTGGAGTGTGAATCTGGTACCAGTGAGCAACTCTGTGAACCTTCATATCCTTAGGAAAAGCAGTAGCAGACACGTGCCCATTGGAAAATCTAAATGAAGAGCTCAAAGGCACATACAATCAAGGCTGGGTTTCACTCAGGACAATGAGGCGTTGTTAGAACTAAAACAACAAATTTAACGGTAACAGCTTCTGAAGTGCAGGAGAAATGTACCAGTGTATGAAGCAAAAGAAATTCATTAGGTGGAATAACCTACCCTTTCAAAACGGGATATCTTCATTGTTTTAAGAGTCGCAGCATCTAGCATTACTGGTGGACCAAGCTCAAACACATTCCGAAGAAAGTCGTTTGACTAAACAAGAAACACAAACAATCAATTTCTCCTCCAATTATCAAGTCTCCAAAGTTGACTACTATTAAACATCAAGTATTCCAGTAAGAAATAGTAGGATTTGTGTCAACTTGCTGCTGTTTTTTGCAATTAAGTCAAGAGCACTTGCTCTTTCAATCAGAATAAGGCTAAGAACAAAAAGTGCCCCACTGAGAAGACAGAAAGAGCTCCCCCTGCCTCTACTGATTTTTCTGTCCCAGCAAATGAGGCAACTGTTCTGTTCTACACAAGATCAGGCAGCTGAACACAGATCCATATGTTTTTGCAACACAGCAGTTTTAAAATATTTGCCTATAAAAGTAGTATTTGAAAAAAAAAAATGACAAAGCTGCTATGTGCCTGGGCTCCCTCAAGTCACATAAAAATGCAATTGACACTGGACCAAGAACTTTAACCCCATGATTATCATAGCAATTTGGGAGCACATATTCCTAAGGTACAGTTGCTGTTTCTGCTACATATATAAACAGATGACTAGTAAACAAGCAGTTCGCAGAACAGAGATAACGACTTATCCCTTCTCTTCTGGAATGCTCTCATCATCAGTGTGCAAATTGTGTTCACTGTTTTTGACTGAAACTTTGCCTTCCTTCTACAGGCTCAAATAGGAAGGGTGGAGGCATGCAGCTTTATAGCAGCCAGATGACTACGCCACTCTGCTGAAAGAGAGCATAAGGATTCAGCAACAATCCTGAAGCTAAAAAGATAAGCAGCTTAAATCTCTTACTTCTTGGAGAATTCAACTGCTAACCCAGCTACAACTCAGAAGCTCACCCAGACAGTTCTGGCTCAACGTAGTCCATTTTTTAAGTGCTGTCTTTTAACACTCCAAATGCAAAGCCCATCATTTCACTAAGTTCTACTCAGGGTTTTGTAGTTCAGACTGAATGACATCAAAGAAGCCGGGCAGTAAAGAACAGTCTGAGCATGTGTCAAAGAGCAGCTCACCTGCAAATGATATTGCATTCCCGACCCCAGGATCTCCTTGAATGTATCATAAGTTTGTTTTTTAACCCAGCAGTCAATATACATGCGCTCAGGTCCAAACTTAACCATCTCTGTAGGAAAGTCACGCTCCTATACAAAAATCAAAGGAAAAAACATATGTAATTTTAATTTAAACAGTCTTTCTTACTAGGAATTGTATAGATCTCAGTGAACTTTATTTTCATTGATAAATTCAGAACAGTAAAGCCTTCCACACAACAAATTATGCATATCCTAAAGATATGCATAATTTGATAACCTTATGTGCATCATAAAAATGGATGCACACCTAAAGTTAAAAGTCATGCAAAACTTGAAGCTGATATTCTTTAAGTTAGAAAGTATTTTTTTAAAAAAACACCCTTTAACTTTCATCTTTAAAATTACTTTAAGAATTAGGATCTATCTCCAGAAAAACCAGTTCTGAGTGCAGGAGCCACCTTAAAGTCAGTCTGTAAGCCTCATTTAGTCTCCACCTTATGAGTATGAGGAGCTACATTTGGGACAATGGAATATAACAAGTGCTAACAGATGCATCTACAGGCAGAAACTTAAATGCGACTTCAAATCCTGCCAAACCTTCTCCTTAGGTTTCAAGATGCCTAACCATTCTAAATATCAACTAATATTTACTTGGTCTTAAGCATATAGCAATGAAAAAATTATCTGACAAGCAAAAATAAAAATCAAGTTCCAGAGGTGTAAGATAAATAACCCATTAACATGGTAACAAGTTTTACATCTGTTTTAGAGGCTTACTCAGTTATGTCACTAATCAAGTATTTTTAGAGTCCTGCTTTGAGTATTATTCTCATAATCTGGATATGCAAACACAGAAGATTATGGTACTGCATTTAGGACAACTCCCCCTCCCGTTCACAAATGCTTTATGGCCCCTGACAGGTATCACTTGTGATATACCTACTAAGTTACTTTTTGTCTATTATGCACAACAGTTATGTATGATTTTACAATAAATCTTTCCACAGAATTCAGGACACTAATTTGGATGTCATACAAAGTTTTTTTATGAAAAAAACTCTGCTCATGGTGTAAAATAAAGAATTTAGTATTTACAGTGCAATGTTTAGCCTTCTTTAAAGAGAAAAGATCGTCTCTATCTGGAAGTCAAGGTTGGAGCAAAACAAACAAAAAAATTACTTCTTGTTCCAATATTCAAAAAAAAGAGGCAGTTCTATTTCACACAAGTGATCAGAATTTGAAATCTCATTTCAAATATTTTTTCCTGTTGCTTTTGGGAATAGCAGTACTGTTTAATAATAAAACAATTTCCCCTAAATTGTACACTATATACTCTGAAGGTCTGCACTGTAACTAAGACAGAAGAATCACCTCAACAGCCCGTAGAACATCTCTGAAGACAGATCTCTGCTTTCTTTTATCCACTTTGGCGCGGTGCTTGTTTCCATCAGTAGCCAGAGCTCTTAGTTTCTCTGTTAGAAGGTCCATATCTTCATAAAAGAAATCCTAGTAAAAAAAAAAAAAAAAAAAAAAAAAGTGTTTGTTGTTGGTGTAGTTTTGTTTTTGTGGGGGTTTTTTTTGGGGGGGTAGTATTTTGTGAGGGGCTTTGGCTTTGTTTGTTTTGGTTTTATTTGTCCTTGGGCTTTGCTTTGGGTTTACTTTGGTTTTTGCTTTTGTTTGGTTTTGTTTTTGTTGTGGTTTTGTGTTTGGTTTGTTTTTTAGGGTTTTGTTTTTGTTCAGGGTGGTGGTTGTTTTTGTTTTGGGTTTTGTGGTTTCTGTTTGGTTATGTTTGTTTTGGTTTTTGTTGTTTTTATTATTGTTTTATTTGTTGCTTTG